CTGTCTCTAACACACTGTTCTTCAGTTATTCAAAGCAAAAGCAATTTCTTAACATGGTTTAATGTCTTCGATCTCTGTTTAGAAATTGATTTAACCCCTTTTGCAACGTTAGCAGATTTAATAATGTCTTTATTTTTCGCGATTGTCGATATCGTCGTTCTCAGAATACGGTATGCAACAGTTAAAATCTCGAACACGCATGCCACCTTCGTATTTCTCAACAATCTCTTTTTTCAGTTCCATTGTGATTCTAGTCATTTTTTTTAGTTTTCTGTTGCTTTTCATTTGCCTTTTTGGGATTCGTGATTAATAAAAATAATAAAATTTTACTTACGAATTAAAATCAGAAGAAATTTAACAAAGTTATAAACTGTGGCACTGCGAACGTCTAGTCTGGCCTAGTACACCGATAGTGCTACTTGTTCATAGATGGTGTGTATAATTGAATTAAGTTGTATACCAAACAAAAGTCATATACCGAGCAAAAATTTTTTTCTTCCAAACAGGACGTATTCCGAATTGGACATATTCTAAAGCTGACTGTACCACTGTGTATATATATATATATATAAGTAGTAGTGTAATGAGTGGCACTAATTACAAAATTAATTTTTACAAATAATTTGTTCTGTTTATAAATAATACTCACCTCACCTTTCACAATTAAATACATGTGACTGGCTGGTTTTTGATATAAATTAAATTTTAAGATATCTTAGAATTTATTTTAATGCCAGGATAGGTCATGAAAGCATAGAGTTTTATTATTACCTATGGCAATGAGAGAAATAATGTGTGGTTACATAATCCTGTGCGCAGCAAGGGAAAGTTCCCTAAATTACAGCCGAAGTGGGATGAGCCATATCGTGTCGTGACTAGAATCAACGATGTCACCTACTGAATACAGAAGAGGTCGAGAACTGCACCCAAGATTGTTCATATTGATCGTTTGGAGTGGTACTATTGGTGTAACGATGCTCGGGACGAGCATGCCTTAAGAGTAGGGCAGTGTCACGCTGGCTTCGGAGGAGACTAGCACCATGGTGCAGAGAGTGGCGAAATGAAAAAGAATGATTAAAAAAAAAGAACGATTTGAAAAAAAAGAACGTTGGAGAAGTCTTTCTTTTAATGAGAGATATAAAGTTTTTGTTGTTAGTCTATCTAAAAAGTGTCAGTTTCAGAAAACTGTATTTTGAATTTATATCCCGAGCCCCACAGCTCGTAACAATATAACTTAAAGGCTGTCTTATAGCATGTATATGCACAAGATGCCACAGTATCCTTATATATAGTTAATCTGGGCCACCTGCCCCACAGGTTTTCATATTTGGTCTCATCTTTCATCTATTTAACTCTGAGCTGAAGAAAAACAGACGGATGACAGTGGGAATTTATATGTCTACAGTTTTTTCAAATTGTAGCCCAATCATCTTTGTAGATTTAACTCTTTCATGCCATTAAATAAAAGTTTTATTTCTTCATATTTATTTTCAGATATGGTGGTATTGGTATGTATTAAGTATAACAAACATGAATGCATGTAGAAATGGTCCATAACATTAACGATAAAAAATGCTATGCTACCCTATTTATTGGGTTGAACCAAAAGTTTGTTTGGGTATTTATATAATTGCTCGTCTGTGGCACCTGTATTGTGCTTATCAAGTTTTAGCTTGTTTAGGTTGACATTACCAATATCTGCATATTTATTATGTAAGTTTAATTACAGCTATTTTTTTAAATTTTGTTAACTTTTAAGAGAAAAAAACATTAAAATGGAAGATAAGAGGGTGCATTTTTGACATCTGATGCTCTATTATTTCCAAAAAGGAAAAAATGCAAACAAAAACTCAAAAAAAGATATGTGCTGTATATGGGGAGGATGCAGTTACTGATCGAACATACCAGAAATGGTTTTCAAAATTCAGGGAGGGAGATTTTTCTCTCGAAGATGCACCTTGGTCAGGACAACCTTCAACCATAGAAGATGAGTCTGTAACAGCTTTAATTCAAAATGATCAGCATAAAACAACACGAGATATAGCCGACATCTTAAATCTGTTCCAAACATCCAAAATGTTCCAACAGTCAAAATGTTCCAATCCAATCTGTTCCAACATTCCAAAAATATTCCAAACATCTGTTGTCAGACATTTGGCTAGCCTTGGATACACTTCCCGTTATGATGTTTGGTTTCCCCATAAGTTAAGTGAATGAAACCTTATTGAGCGTGTTTCTGTATGTGATTCACTTTTAAAACACAATGAAGATGATCCCTTTTTAAAGTGATTAATAACAGGTGATGAAAAATGGATCGTTTACAACAATATTCAATGCAAGAAATCTTGGAGTAAGCCAGGTGATCCTCCAGTGCCACAACCTAAAGCTGGTTTGCATCCCAGAAAAGTAATTATTTCAGTTTGGTGGGACTGGAAAGGATTTCTTTATTACAAGCTTTTACCCAACAACCAAACAATTAATTTCAATAAATATTGTCTCCAACTGGATGAAATAAAGGCTGCAGTGCATCAAAAACGTCCAGAACTTGCAAATCGACGGGGAGTGGTATTCTATCATGATAATGCAGGACCACACATATCGTTAAACATGCACCAAAAACTTCTGGACTTTAACTGGGATGTTTTGAGTCACCCTGCATATTCTCCAGATATTGCTACCTCAGGCTATCATCTATTTTGTTCATTGCAGAATAATTTAAATGACATAGATTTTCAATCTCTAGAAGGTATCAAAAATCACATTGATAATTTCTTCAATCAGAAACCCACCCAATTTTACACAGACAGAATTATGAAACTACCTGTCAGGTGGTATAAGGTTATTGACAGAAGGGTGAATACATTGTGGATTAAACGTTTTTATTTATTTCAAAATAGTATATTTTATTTCTTTCTAAAAACCGAATGAACTTTTGGTTCAACCCAATACTAACAAATTTTCTTTTTCATTCATTCTCAGTAACATCTGAGGATTATTCACTTGTGGTGACAGTATATTTTTAATTAAAATTTCAACTTTTTGCATCTGTTTTAATTTATTTTATAAGCTTTAAATGTGAGGAATAATAATAATGATACAATAAAATAATAAATTAATTATTATACTTACAAAACTAAAATTGCAAAGTTTTAAACCTACATTGTGTCACTTCAGTACCTAGTGTTTTGTCCACTAGTTTATTGCCACTCCAAGGAAAAGTGAAACCTCCAAAACTTTTTAACCTAAACACTCAATTTTTAGATGCTCATTTTTTGGAACTGTTTGAGAAGTGGGTCATATTATTTGGATAAAGAACTGTTTGTGTTAAGGTCTATGTACTCACCAAGTTTTGTTCAAATCAGAGACTTGAATGTCTGATCCTCTTTTTGTGAGTATAAATTGTACTAGAGGAAATCTATTCATCTGAAAACACTAGCTTATTAAAATTGATTCCCTCAGAGAGATGGTGCTAGGCAAACTCTAGACACTTGTTTGTGCCTTGCTGGCAGAGGCAGTTATTTTTAATATTTCGCAGTAGCTAAAACTCTTGTTGCAGAATCCAGTGGATGGCATGATAGGATACTTTTAGATTCAAGTATTCCTGGAAGGAATAAATCTTAGCTGATGTTATCTTGTTCATTGCCTTTGCTTTTTGTGACAAACATCCTCATCTTGATGTTTTAGGACTGTCTATGCTTAGTAAGAGAAGAAAATTTACTATTCTATTCAAAAAGGAAGGAGGAATCCATAGAGATGCAGATTCCATATTCTACTCAAAATGGAATGTTTAATACAGTACCACTCTTTATTGTTTATGTCAAAAAGTGTATAGAACAACCATTATTGGAAATAGGGGTTGTAAAGATTTACAGTTTGGTTTAACAAATTCTTTTTCTTTTGCTCATTTATTTGGCATGTTTATTGCTGTATTCTTTCAGAATTTCTCCTTGTAATAATAGATCTACTATTAATACATATTATTATTCAAAAGATAGATGTATTGATAAAAGACATTACAAGATATTTTTTATTTTTTCAAATAAATTCAAATGAACATTAATTTTAATATTAAGTTGTAATTATCATGCATAAACAATTTCTATAATTTGATAATTCAAATGATAAGTTCTAAAACTTATATACAATACTTTAAAGCAGGGTTTCTAACTTGTTGATAAAATTTGAGGTTCCACAATGAAATCTGTTGAGTGTCAATGCAGATTCAGGATGTGAGTTGTAATTGTTCTAGTCTAGGATCGGTCCTCTTATGATATCCTATACGCATGTTAGTGATTTATGGCTTTATAAACAGTGGCAACAGATTTATTGGTAATGGAACAAATTGAAATCACAATAATACTGTTTGACAAGACAATGAAAACCATAAATATGGTAAAATTTAACCTAAAGCTAGAAAATCATTAAAAAATAAAACATATTTAACATATAAATAATAATACAATTGGTAATTAATGTCCCATCATCTGTAGTGTGTTGTAGCACAACTATATGGAGTACAGTACAAATGGATATACCAGTCAAAGATTATTAGAGTTTTGCACTGCAATCATTTTGTGGTATTTTAGCTATTTTTCGTATAAAAATATAGTGGGAATTGTTAAATTTATAGTGCTTTTAGTATTGTGTGTATTCCAAATTAAAATTATGGAATGTTGGTTGAAAAAGAGTTTTGTAGAAAAATATAGCAAGTACTTCAAATGTTTCTAGTGACAAAAAGACTGAAAGGATAAATACAAACAAAGGTACAAATCCAGGCACTAGCACTGTTTAAAATATTGAAAAAAAAGTTGTTTAACCCTTTCCATTATTAATCTGTCTTTTTTTCCCCAATAAATTGTTTTTGGTGATTCTATTTGCTGTTTTATCTATAATGATTAAAAATTGTCAGAGTTTCAATATTTTTTGCTAAGGTGAAAAGGGTTTTGCGATAAAAATAAGTTAAGAACTGCTACTTTAAAGTAACTATTATTTGTTTACAGATCGATTGCTTAAATGACTTACCAAAAGTTTTGGTGCCAAATTATGAAGCAGATGAAAATTTTTTACGGAAGGTTCATCATATTTTATTGGAAGTAAGTAATTCAGTTTACTTCAACTTTATATATATATATATATTTTTATAAATATGAAGGTAAAGATTATTGAAATCTTTTCATCATAGGTGGTATTTCAAAATATCTGGCATGTTCGACCATCTGTCAAAACCTAGTCTTCTGGCTGGTTTAGCAATTTTAAAATGTGAGAATTGTACATATACAAGGTATAATTTTCATGTCCAAGATTGACAAATGATAACGAATATAAGATATTGACAGAACAATGTAAAACCCACTCCTTAATCCATCAAGTATAAATTTCTCCTTTTGTTTTTTGCTTCTTAAGTTAGACC